TGTGAGTGACAGAATAATAATTAATTCACACCTGCTTTGTTTGTGGACTCAAACCTGTATGCAGGGCACAGGTGTCCCCTCTGGAGACTTCAGAAAGCTCAAGTGGACTAATAAATTCTTTCAGTGGGAGGAGCAAAGAAAGAACTAATTTGAGTTTCCTCCTTATGACTGTTCCTGTCTGTGATGTCTCCTGGCAAGCTCACAGTCCCAGTGCTCCCTTAACCTGAGCCCCAGCTGGGCTCTGGGACATCTGGAATCTTGGGATGAGGCTGGAGGCCACACAGCTCTGCCTCAAGCACTGGGGAGCTGTCCCATGTATGATGCATTCCTCCAGGGCTGGGGTGATGAAGGCATGATAACAAGTAAGAGGAGCCTAAAGATTCAAACAGGAGTAGGGATATTGGAAAAAGACAGGATTAGCTAGTGAATAGGTGTTCAAGACAAGGAGGAAAGTCACTGGTCCTTTTGGACTCAGAAACAAGGTTAACTGGAAATTATAGAAAGCTAAATTTAAAAAACCAAACCAGGATCCCCAAACAAGTCGTGAAAAATGTCAGGAAAAGTGATCTGTCCAAAGTTTTGCTATAAAGAGAAGGAGAGAACTGAGCCATGGCTCAAGGATGAGTTTTGAGTCTTCAAAGAAAATAGATGCATCTAAAGTGAAAATTCACTTCAGTAGTAATTGCTGAATACATTTCATGAGCTGGACCTGCTCACCAACCACTGACCTCCATAGCTAACCTCAACTTAGTGGTATTGTCAGTCTGGAAGACACCAAGAGATTCCACTGAAAATAATGAACTTGTTTCAAATGTTTTCTGATATACCAAGAGCTAACTATGGGGAAACAGCATACACAGCTGGGTGCACACAGGAACTGGCAGAACCTTCTCTTCAATTTTAGTTCATACAGCTCTTCTCCCCCTCATTCTTCAAGCTTCAAAATTGAGGCTGGCAGACACAATCAGTCAAGGGTGAGGAGTGTCTCCCAGGCCTTACAGACTCACAAGTAAATCCCAACTTACACAGACTCCCTCAGCAGCAGTTGAGTAACTAGTTTTGGCAATGGAATAGGTGTCTGGTATGCCAAAAATCTTAGACAGCTGTAGTGACTAATGGACCAGAAAATTAAATTGCTGTTTTGATCCTTGAAGCTCAGCCTGACTCTGTTGAAGCTAAATGGTTATCTTGCCACTAAACCTCTGGGAAGCAGCAAACACACACACTATTCCTCTAAGGCTGCTGCATTGCATATTCAGGTTTTTTTAAAGGACCAATTTCCAGGTTGGTAAAATTTCAAATAAACCATTCAAAAATGTGTCTGAAAAACTTAGAAAATGTTTACTTTGTGGCTGAAGTGTGTGAATAATCTGGCTGTGAAAAATGCTTATGCATGCAAGCCTATACAAGATGTCATCACCTGTTACTAGGCTGGCAAACCTCACAGCTAGGGGAGGGAGGTTGTGTTCCTTCTTCCTCTGTGTGATTGTTTTGAGTGGGCAAGCATAGCTTTGCAAGGCTAAATACCTACATTAGCTATTTAGATTACAAAGGTCAAAAAGCTGTGCAGCATCCCTACCAGTTCCATCTGCACTGGGATCCACTCTTGCTTGTGGTATGAAGAAAAATCTTTTGAAGGTAAACTGAATTGGTGATACTGGGGGTTCCTCTTCTGTAATAGTGATGATTTCAAGACTTCCAGTAGTGGGATTTGTCTCTGGTACCTGACTCAACAAGAGAAGGAAAAGAAAAAAACCCAGAAGATAATCATCTTGTAAAATGTTATCACAGAATCACAGAATAGGTTGGGTTGGAAGGGACATTAAGGTTTATCTAGTTCCAACCCCTGCCATGGGCAGGGACACCTTCCACTAGCCCAGGTTGCTCCAAGCCCTGTCCAACCTGGCCTTGAACACTTCCAGGGATGGGGTATCCACATCTTCTCTAGGCAACCTCCTCCAGTGCCTCAGCACCCTCACAGGAAAGAATTGATTCCTAACATCTCATCTAAACATTCTTGTAGCCCCCTCAAGGTACTGGAAGGCTGCAACAAGGTCTCTCTGAAGCCTTCTCTTCCTCAGCTCCAGGTCTCTCAACCTGTCTTCATAGCAGAGGTGTTCCAGCCCTCTGAGCATCTTTGTGGCCTCCTCTGGACTCACTCCAACACACCCATGTCCTTCCTGTGCTGAGGACTCCAGAGCTGCGTGCAATACAATCTCATGTACTCAATGTTCATGTAAGGAGCACTTATAACTAATTTACCAGCAAACTGCTGAGGTTAATTATTTGTTCAAATTTGCCTAAGCACTGTAGCTACTTTTAATAACTCACACTGGGGTTGTGAATCCATTCCCTGCTCTATAATTGCAATAGGAAACAAAAGCAAGACTGAAAAACATATGACACCTACACAGCAGCTGACAGGATACTCAATCGGAGCCCCTGAATTGTACTCCAGTGAAACTTTGATAACTTACCACACAGTGAAAAAAAAACGAAAAAACAACAAAATGAGGTACACTAGCATTCAGGCTAAATAGATTTGAAATGCTGATTTCTGACTCTGGTCCTGTACACTGCCACTGGCAAAAGGAATCAGATTTTGGAACTCACAGTGGTGTGAAATAAGTCCAGCTTTGTTACAGACAGTGGAGCTGGTAAGCTGTAAAAGCAGTATATTTGCAGAGCCAATCCCAGAAAATGCTTTTCATGACATATTTCAGGCAAAGAATACACATTTTGTCTGCGACACTATATTTTAAAGTCACCTGGACTATCTTTTCACCTTTCAGTAAACAACTACAGTAAGGTTTCTGCTCTTTCATTTCCTAAAATTTCTTATACATTTCAAAGAACATAAATTAAACTTCATAGAGATTCTGCTAGCAAAATTATTAAATATAAGAAAAAAACCCCTTCTAATGGGTGAATTATTTGACCACCAGGAAACAAAACAACCTCGTGAAGTGAATGACATGAAAGCTGAACACTGACCTTTCATTTATTTAGAGGCTATCGCATGCTCCCAACGCTTCACTCACCTCTTCCTGAGAAGTCATAGTTAAAAGCAAAGCTGTTTTCTTTCTTCATTATCAAAAGCAACCAAAAGGAAATTCTGAGTTTGCTAAGCCAGTTTGCTCTGGAAAGGTTTCCAACCAGCTGTTGCATGCAGCAGCCTGTGTAACCCAACCTGGTGAGGGGTATCGGGTAGCCCTGGATGGCATGGCTACGGAAAGGGGGGGATAAAAATTCAGCACCCTTTTTAATTAGCCTAAGAACCTCAGGTAATATTGTAGTATTCACAAACCTTCCTGTAACCCCTTAGAGAAGGAGCACCACAAACGGCACATGCTCACGGTGCTCATCTTCTACCAAAGCTGGTGCAGCCCCAGAGCTTCATCTCTTCAGCACACAGAGCCTGTAGGCTCAGCTTGCTCCTCCTTCACTTGGTTTAGCCTCTGCTGTGTGCCTGCACAGGGGTTTTTCAAAAAGACCCATGCTTTAGTTATGAATAATTTTTGTAATTAAATATTGCATGGTATTTTGGAAGTCTTCTGCAAACAGCGTCTCGTGTTTCTGAAGTATCAACTCATTTGTGCTCTGGGATTTAGAAAATGAAAATGTATGCTCAGCTGCAACAAATGCTCAAGAGTAGTCATAATTTGGCTTGTTTTTTTCCACTAAGAAGAGAGATTGATGACAGAGGAAAGGGTGGAGAGTAGAAGGAGGAGGAGAGATGAAGCAAAAAGCCACAGCACTTTAAGTGAAACAAGGCTCCTGAGGGCCAGGGAAGAAATTAAGGTTTTCCAATGCAAAACCCATGTCCCTGGCACATGGCTGCAATGAGGGAAGCTATTCAGTACCTTTGCTGTGCAGGATGGAAACTGGCACTTCTAAAGAGAGAACACTACATCACAGTCTATTAACTTAAGCCATGACATCAAGAATTCTTCATCATCTCCTAAGTCACTCTTTCAGCAGCCTTGCCTGGAAATGGTAACACAGGGGGACATAAGATTAAAAAAAAAAAAAGAAAGAAAGCAGACAAAGATGTTCAAAGTAGGCTGCACTTTTTGAGTTGCTCTGCTGCTCTCCCACCAGACTTCAGAGACAAATGGTTGGAGAAGCAGCTCAGATTGGCCAGCTGCCTCAAGGGGAACTTTAGCCAAGGGAGAGAAAGTGAGGGCTCATTTCAGGAAACAGCAGCTCAGGTTATCCTTTCATTGCACAGGTGAGATGTTCTGTCCTCCCCAGGGAGTGGTGGTACCTGCAATGAGGATAGCCCAGGACAGAAAATAATAGTCTCCAGCCAATTTACCTACTCTGGCCACACTGCAAAGAAGCTCTGCAAAGGCTCCCATGGTGGGACTGACACCACTGGAAAGGACAGATTTTTCCTGCTGCCACCCTGAGCTGGGCATGATGACTAGATGGAACATTTGGTTTGACCTGCCACAGCTGGGGTGCCCATTGCCTTTGGCTGAGAAGACCAAAGCAGGAGCCACAGACAGTAAGGACAGGAGGACATGAAAACTGAGACCAAAAGGAAAGAATTTGGCTCACAGACTAAATTCTTACATGCTGCAGGACAGCCCTGCTCGCCTCTTCCATGCTGCAGTAGCAGCTCAGGTGGATTTCGTGGCTTTCTGGAGACAAGTTAAAGTGAGGGCTAAAAGACCCAATCTCAGCCCCTTCAGCAAGTCCCCCCTGACAGCATTGGTCACCTTTAAGCTACTAGTCTTGTTCTGCTGGGGTGGATGGAGAAAACCTGCTGATAGCTTTTGCTTTTTTAGCTACCCTAAACCAAAAATTCAGAGACACACATGCTACGAAAACAGGATGTCAGCTTTTGTCAGAAAAGATCACAAGAGGTTTGAGGGTTTTTTATTTTAGCTGCCTCTTTCTCTCTCATTTTCTTACTCCCTCCCTCCCTTGCACCCTCCTCCCACCTCCCAATTTCTGTCAGCACTCAGCACACAGTCAGGGGAAGAGTGGAGAAGATGGCAGTGGCTGAGACACAGCTGTATGCAAAGGTGGCCAACAAGCACAGGAGTAAAAGCACCTCTGCCCTCCTTGAGTCTCTCCTCGCCAAAGGATTCCCAGCTCATATCGCGTGAGTAATTTGTTCAGCTGCCTTTGCACAGTAAGAGGTATTTAAGACATAAGAGGTATTTGCATAAAATCCTGACATCAGGCAGCTTGCTTGTTTTGATCAGGAGGATGTGCTGCTCCTGGGGGTGATATCCCTGTACAAGGATCAGACGTGTCTTGCTTGAATTTCAGGTAGATCAGTGTGATTGCTTATAGAGCAAAACCAACCTGCTCAATATCCATTGTTACAAATGCTGTGTATACCTAAAGACACAAACCTTTTCACATCCTGAGGCTGAGAAGCTTCAAAATGAGTTAAGAAGTTGACCACAGTTTGCTCTTGGGATGCATCCTTTTTTTTTTTTCTGCTTATCACTCTTATTAATATTTATCATTATTTACGGTTATTTAACTCCTTTATTACAAGAGAGTCAAATGTGGATGTAATTTCTATCTA